GCCCAACAGCCCCTTCTGCACAGAAATCCTTCCTCAGAGCCAGCCTGACCCTGCCCTGGGCAGCTTGAGGCCATTCCCTCGGGGCCTGGCGCTGGGGCCTTGGCTCCAGAGACTCATCCCCCCTCTCTGCCCCCTCCTGGCAGGGAGTTGCCGAGGGCCAGGAGGTCTCCCCTCAGCCTCCTCTTCTCCAGACTGAACCCCCCAGTTCCCCCAGCCGCTCCCCAGCAGACCTGTGCTCCAGACCCTGCCCCAGCTCCGTTGCCCTTCTCTGCCCACGCTCGAGTCATTCAATGGCCTTTTTGGGGTGAGGGGCCCAGAACTGACCCCAGGAATCGAGGGGCGGCCTCCCCAGTGCCCAGCCCAGGGCTCAGATCCCTTCCCTGGCCCTGCTGGCCACGCCAGGGCTGACACCAGCCAGGATGCCGTTGCCCTCCTTGGCCCCTGGGCACACTCTGGCTCATTCTCACCCCCCAGTCCCTCTCTGACCGGCAGCTCTCCAGCCACTCCTCCCAAGACAGACCAACAGATCACGTCACTGTCTGTCACTGTCTGATTTTGGCTCTTCAAACCGTGCAGGTCACCCAAAAACTCCAGGCAACCAGTTGTTGCTTCCTCCACTCCTCTCCTTACAGCAGCTAGAAGAAGCTTTACCCTCACTGCTGAAGGTCCGAGCCCAGAAATGCTGCCCCCGGGGACGCAGCAGAGCCTGGGCAGGCAAGTGCCATCAGCTGGCCGAGCTCCGGCAGGGTGAGAGGGATGGTGGGACCGCAGGCCACGCTCTGCCAGCTCAGGGCCCAGCCTGGTGGGTCAGCAAGGGGCTTGGAGGGGCTTCTGGTGTGGGCAAGGCAAGAGCTGGGGATGTTTTAGCAAGGTCAGGTCCTGCCAGAGTTCCTGCCAGCCCAGGGACCAGAAACATCTGAAAAATGTGCAGCTGGGCACCAAGAACCCCCCTGAGATCCCACGGACAATCACAAAGAGAAGAAAATGTATCACCATTCAACATCATAAAAAGTGGAAACAGTCTGAGAAATTTAAATTGCTATGAATAAACAGAGCAGGGCCGTGAGCAGCCCTGGAAATATCCCTGCCCATGGAGGGGGGGGCGGGTTGGACCAGATGACCTTGGAAGGTCCCTTCAACCCAAACCCTTCTGTGAGTTTAAGCCTGCATCAACACCCCAGCAACAGGGATAATGTTCCGCTGAGACTGGAACTTGAGACATTGGCCAAGAAAAGTCACAACAAGGTGAAGATGCTGCAGAATATTTCCTCGTTTCCATGTAAAGACTTCAAGGGCTGAAAGCTAACTCCAACGCCTGCCCAAAAATCAGCAGCAGTAATTGCAACCAGTGACATCATTCAGATTTATTTCAACTGGATGAATCTTTCTTAATTTTATATTTATTTCTAACATCCAGAATAAGGCTACTGGTGGAATACACTGCCCTGAACCCTCCTCCTTCCCCAGCAAGAGGTTGCATGTGGGACAACGGGATGATGCTCATATCTACAACTTTTTTGCTCCGTTCTGGCTAGATAAAAGCAGGTTATCTCTAGGACGTTGAAGGATTGCTTCTCAAAAACACCTACTTCATGTTTTCTCTCTCATCTTCAGACATACCCTCACCCACGTACCATCAGTTACTCTGCATTTAAATGGAAGCCGAAGCGAGCTCCTACAAAAATAACGAGGTCAAATTTCCATTTCAAAGCCAGGGAACAAAATTTTGGGACCCGAAAAGCAAATGCAGGTAGCTGCACACAAACGATATTACCTTCCAAAGAATGGAGACCTTTTTCCTTGGCAGTCTCATACACACTGCTGAAATCATCCCCGAGGTTTGGATCTGCGTTCGCTGCAAGCAGGATCTTCACCACACTGTTACAAATCAGAACAAAACCAAGGCTGAGGTAGGACATGAGTAACTGAACTTCAGAGGCTGAGAAGGGAGACAGGGCTCAGAAAGCTCCTCAAACCCCCCCAACTAGCAAAGGGAAGTTGAACCCACAACCACAATTGAACAGTTCAACAAATAGAACCACACCAGCACAGTCCCAGCTGGGTGTGGGAGGCACTTGAGCAGGGGGACACTGAGGGGCCGCAGCCCTCCCACGTCGCCGCGCACACAACAGACCCTCAGTGGGAGTTGTATTCCCAGCCCGCCGCGGGAATCTGGGATGTCCCCGTAGCTTTGCAGGTCTGGCCCAGTGGTGGAAACTGTCCCCAGCCACAGCCAGAGCCCGACCTTGGCTCCGAAGCCCTACAATTTATGGCCTTCAGGGTGTCTCTGCCTCGATGCAGCTGATGGAAGCCACCCATGAAAAGGCACCTCCTGCACCCACATGGGCTATGAGAGACGACTAGTCCTTCCTTGCCTCCTTCTGCCCTCACAAGAGGAAGCACCAACCTCAGCAGCTCAAAAATAAATTTCTATTGGGTTAATTAAATGGGGTTCTGGAAGAAAAGCATTTGACTTCTGCATGAAGTTCAGGCAAATCCCCATCTCTGAGAACCAGATTTTTTTGTATGAATCATGACAGAAGACAGCCTGCTCCTCTGCAACCTGCCTGGCAGCTGCCAGGACTGCTGAAAGAGGTTTAACCTCTGAATTTGTAGAGAAGGTTGCCGAGAGCGGGGATGAGTCTCTGGAGCCAAGGAGCCAGCGCCAGGCCCCGAGGGAATGGCCTCAAGCTGCCCAGGGCAGGGTCAGGCTGGCTCTGAGGAAGAATTTCTGTGCAGAAGGGGCTGTTGGGCGTTGGAATGGGCTGCCCAGGGCAGGGGGGAGTCCCCGAGATCCCTGGGGGGGTTGAAGAGTCGGGCTGAGCCAGCGCTGAGGGATCTGGGGGAGTTGGGAACGGTCAGGGGGAGGGTCATGGTTGGGCTGGAGGGGCTGCAAGGGCTTTTCCAACCCAGATGATTCTGGAATTCGGAGAACTTCCCCATTATTTTATGCTGCAGCTGCAGGACCCACGGGGAAGGCAGGTCCTGTGGCAATGCAGGCAGGACACCCCAGACTCCAGCTCTGCTACGAGCTGTAAAGTCACCACCACGCTGCAGAGGAGAGGTAACAGGGGACATACAAGCCAGGCTCCGCCAGTGTGGAAGTCTTCCATCTCTGCTTTCGAACCCAAACAATCATCAGGCAAGAATTAGATTTCGCACCACCTCTGAAAGCAGCTTGAAGCCAGTTAATTCTTAATTTTTTTTCCAGAGTTCAAGCTTTCCATGACAACTAGACAGTAACTCGTTAGCTAGTATTCATCACTGGTGACACGGCTCACGGGCTGACAGCGACGGGCACCGCAGACTGACTGACATGTATCTGCAGGCTGTGTCTTGTCAAGTCACATTTAGAATTTAACTTAAGCTCCTCTCCCATTTACCCCATAAATGCATTAGTGGAATAAAAGGTGGTTATTTTATTCCTTGAACACGGTACAATAGAGTCCAGCTCCCCACTGGAACACGCTTCACCATGCACTAAGTTTCTTCTCATGAGCAAAGCACCAGGCTGGGAGCCGGGAGATCCCCCCGCCATCTCCCGTGGAGCACAGGGAGTTACTGATGTTGGGACTTCAACCATGCCCTTCACTTTAAGGTTGAGTTGCACTGGATCTTACTCATCAAACAGCAACTACCAACTACGACTTTTCATCTTTTCAGTGTAGTCTGGAGCTTGTTGCACTGACGCGATCTAATTTGGTATCTGATGGTTAGAACTGGTACTAAGGATGGGGATCACCTCACCTGCTTTCAGATATCACCAACAGAGGACTTGAAGTCCTCTCCCATCACAGATGTGCTCACTCTACCCCTCAAATCCCTCCAACTGGCCTGAATTTTCTTTCAGTTCATCCACCACTTTTGGTTGTGGAGCAAGGGGCAGTGTGTGAGATCATCTGCTACCACCAGCACAGTTCCAGCGAGACACAACCTCCCGGCCTCATGCTCAGTCCTCGTGGCACAGAGGGTGTGCTGCCAGTGTAAGCCAAAATGGCTTGCTAGCATTTTTTTTTTCCTCTTCATCTTACTTTTCATCTTGCTAAATATTTTTTACTGAGAATAAATTGTCACTTCTGGTACATGCAGACACAGCTGAAGGTTGATGGTTTCATGAAGAAGAAATGAGTTTGGAGATAAGACAGCAATAAATAAAACAGTTGGGGCCTATACTTGAAGATAACAGGAACAAGGATGGCACAAATCAAACCAGACCAGCTCAAGACACAACACAGCTGCACAACACCTCCTAAACAAACATTTGTGAGCACTCGTGAGTGCTGTCAACAAAAAGACATGGGGAGAAAGACTACCAACGACCCCCAGGGACCCCTCGAGACCACATAATCCCAGAATCATGAAGGTGGGAAAAGCCCTTGCAGCTGCTCCAGCCCAACCATGACCCTCCCCCTGACCCTTCCCAACTCCCCCAGATCCCTCAGCGCTGGCTCAGCCCGACTCTTCAACCCCTCCAGGGATCCCGGGGACTCCCCCCTGCCCTGGGCAGCCCATTCCAACGCCCAACAGCCCCTTCTGCACAGAAATCCTTCCTCAGAGCCAGCCTGACCCTGCCCTGGGCAGCTTGAGGCCATTCCCTCGGGGCCTGGCGCTGGGGCCTTGGCTCCAGAGACTCATCCCCCCTCTCTGCCCCCTCCTGGCAGGGAGTTGCCGAGGGCCAGGAGGTCTCCCCTCAGCCTC